ATTATCCGTGGGATAACCAGCGCAAGGTGTCAACCCTGTTGTTCTATAAGGCAACCAGTGACCAGCTTATGTGTCCGACACTGCTACAGATTTAGGGGCGAAATAGTCGGCTATAAAAGCTTTAACATTAGTTATGTTTGGGGTCCCTAAACATGGATCATCAAATGCGTGAAGCGCAAAACAAAGTGTGCACGTTTGCGGCGTCAGTGAACATTACACTTACAATATGAGGTTATTTACGGTGCCTTGCCTCCGTTAGCGGTGTACGGTGGAAAGGGCACTGGCTCAGTCGGAAAACTACGGCAATTCGAACAGTGTGCTTTATATGACAACTCGGACAACGAGCCCTTGACAGCCTCTCGCCGTTGCAATAATAAGCGATTTTCGGTCATCGGAACAAAGGCAGGAAAATTAACGAAAAACCGACCTAGTGGTCGAAAGCGATAGCTTTGACGGGCGAAATCGCCCGTCGAGCGAGGCCAAACAAAACAGAGATCGTCACCGCCGTTGACCGAACGCCGGACGGTTACAGAACGTCGGTAGAGCGGCTAGACGACGGCGACGACGACAATCAGCGCAAGTCGGACTTTGCAAACAAAGAAACATCTGCCGTTACTTTTACAAGGTCAGAAACGCAGGTCTTTATTACGCCCTCAGCAGCAGCTGTGGTATGCTGGGCTGAGGTCAGTTGCGCGACGCAAACGTGTCGTCACGTCTCGTCTCGCTTGCGCCGCTTGTTCGCGGCGGTGGCCGCTTCGATCACCGCCAATAAAACAAACGTCGATGATCGAACAGAACCGACAATTTTCTATTGCGTTTCGTCAACATGCCAGATTACGAGGCGAGTTCGAGTTAATGAACTAACAGTCAAACTCAGTTTTAGCGGTACTAATTTTGTTAATTAACGCACATACTTCCAAGTAGAACAAAACACTTTAAACGGCGAACGACGCTAAAATGGAAACTGATCTCACAACAGAAGGACTACTTTTAGAAGAACTGAGGAGGCACGACATAACAGAACTAGAGATGCGAAGACCGACACTCAAATACAGTGGGATGATTTTTGATCGCGCACCGTATACTAAGAAATGGCATCTTCAGTTTGCGTTGTGTCGCTGTTACAACACAGGCAAAACCCAATCTGTGCTTCCTTGCAAATCTTTCTTGCACGAATCTACCGACCAGGACAACAACGGCGGAGAGAAAGTACCCCTTGCGACATGAGATGCCTCGCCGAACGTCGCCGAACTCATTCACTCAAAGAACGAACGCGGGGAGGTAAAAAGCCGCAGCAGAAACGGACGCAATAAGAGAGCGATAGAGC